TCATCAATAACAACTACTTCAGAATTATTTGAACCATTTTCATCAACGTCTTGATACTCCATTTCTGCACTCTGCACAGTTCCCCAAAAAGTTTGCAGAATTTGGTTGAAACCGTTTTTCCTTTCTTATGGATTATTCGCATCCATTTTTGAGATATGTATTATATATTATATGCAACAATTTTATTTCCTCCACGATTATTATTGGGGCATGAATTTAAAATGAAAGGTTGTAATATTAAAGATTGTGATCTTTACCAATGGTTACGACTGTTTTGAAATGTTGTGTATAAATAGTTGAGCGGTATAATTGTGGCTTTTGAAGTTGATTTTTTAGCCTAAAACAAGTGCTTAAGGAGGCTGAATATATTTATTATTTTGAGTTCACATACGATTTAAATCATCTTTTCGAGGAAAATTCTGCAAAAATAAAAACAAATAATGGAACAAAAATATTTTGACTATAATTTTTTCATTTGACTAAAGATAATGATAATTCGAATCAAGACCAAGAAAAGAGCAAATACACAGTTAGAACGAATAATCATTGCATCTAAAAAATAAATAAATAAAATTTCAACGAAATAATTTACGTATTTAACCCCAAAAAATGAACAATCCACAATTCAAATAAATAATTTCTTGCATGAAAATGCATAATTATTTATCCTTTTGTAGGAACTACTGTTTCGAGCTCCATTATTTTGACTTAACTTTCTTATAAAATAATATAGACACAAGTATGCATCGATAATTTAGTACATAAAATGTACTGAAGTATGGAAAAATGAATCAAACATAAACATGATCATATTAGGACTTTAACATGATATGCATGACCAAACTAAATCATGAGTAAAAACTTTTAAAGAATCACAGGTCATTATACAATTCTAATGCATAATTAAAAATCATTTGAGAAGCTTTTTTAAAACCTTTGAAGGAACATAATTCATTTTTATGAGATATTAGCTTTAACTGACAAATAAACTATGTGAGTTATAACATGAAATTCGATGCAACTACCACACTGAGAAGGGAGAGTCAACTTCCAAGGTAGAACTATGTATCATTCATTCATATGCTATTTATGGATTAACTAGCTAGGTTATTTAAGACAATCCTACGAGAGTACGTAGTATTGAAATAGAGATCGCTACTAGAGACTACCCTATTTGAGCCTCCACCTCAAAGTTCTCTCGTTGCTAAGTTAAATTCCAATGAAATAGATAAAGTCAATTATCAAAACATAACATTAAGAAAGACAATAGTTACAGTACCAATCCAAATCATAAAATCGTATAAGAGTAGCTCCTTTAAATCATAATTCATACATATGTGAGAAAATCTTTCACAATCATGATTTCATAATATGTGAAAAAACCTTTCACAATTCTTTGATACTTATCTAAAAAAACATCCTTGATTCATAAAGCATTGTTTCTTTGACATGTTCGTGGCTGTTCTATCAGCTTGTGCGTGTGCCAAGCTTGTCGATGTCAGTTTTAAATTGTTTGAAGCAATGTCACATGAATTCGGACTTTATCTAAGATATGGAACATTATGGTTGTGTGGTTGATCTCTTAGGAGAGTTCCGCTACTACAAGAAGCGTACTACTTCATAAAGAAGATGCCTTTTGAAGCTGATGCCACTGTTTGGGGGCTCTGATGGGTGCTTGTAGACTTCATGGAGCTATTGAATTGGGAAATGAAGTATCACAACTACTGCTTGAATCGTAACCAAATCATTCTGGCCGTTATGTGCAACTCTCAAGCATTTATGCTGGCGCAGAGAGGTGGGATCATGCTGCCTACTGCCTTGAGAAGAGCAATGTATACACAAGGTTCCAGACATAGTTTAGTTTAGTAGAGCTGATAACTGCAGCAACTTGGTGATGGCATCTATAGTCATCAAATTCAGCTAAAAGGATCCTGCTTATGGATTTTGTATTGCTTCAGATCTAGGAGGATACATTAAAGAAACCTGGTTTCAAAGTTTGTTTGGCCAGGTATTTCTTTTTGTTTTCTACTTTTCTTTTTCTGGATCTTTATCTTTGCCCCAATACCTTGAAACTATGGTGCGGTTTTCTAATTAAATAATCTGAATAATAGTTGATCACGATAAACATCACCTACAGGCAAGCGGTTCTGCTTGACTTCTACCTAAATGAAGTGTTAAATCCACATGGATTTGGATCACTAGGAATTTTATCACATAATTGTGTGTTCATTGTCTAGTCTAAGTTAATGCTTTAAACATATTGCAGGTCTCTATGCAAGTGGTTGTTTGGGACTGATGTGTAGTTGATGTGTGTAGCAGTAACATTTGATTATTTCAATCGGTACAGCCTACCTCCCACCAACAGATAGTGGGTAAATCAACCACCAACATGTTGAATTTTAAAAGGTGTGAATGAAAAATGAAGAGTTGCGATTTTTATGAAAAGTAGCGACTTTTATCATAAAAAGTTGTGCCTTTTGTGAAAGATTGAGAGGATTATGGAGCAACAAGTTAAAGAAGATTTGGATTTTAATTTGCTGTAGTGAATGAGACTGGCGATCATGAATGGGATACCATATCTTTCCTCCCAATTCAACATGGCAGATTGAACAAGTTAATAATATTAATGCAGAGGATGTAGAAGAGCAAACTGAAATTAAAGATATTGGCAAAGTTGAAGTAGTTGTAGTTATGTATGAAATCACAATCAAGAGAGACCCTCAAAATACTAAGGGGTCGTTTGGTAGAGTGTATAAGAATAATGCAAAATAGGGTGTATTAGTAATACTTGCATTACTAGTGCTTGCATTAGTAATACTTGCATTAGTTATGTCTGCATTATTTCTTATATACTGTTTGGTTTGATGTATTAGAAAAAATAAATCTTGCATAATTTCTATTTAAAAAGTGTATGTTTACAAAAATACCCTTTACACTTTATTTCTTTATATACTTTCTTTGCAACAAGGTTCTTTGGTAAAACATCAAAAAAAAAGATTTCTTTGCTAAAACATTATTTCTTCCTATTCTTCTTATTTTTCAAATATAACATTAAAAAGTTGTTACTACATTGAAATAAGATTCAAAAAAAGAAGAAGAAGAAGAAGATGTCAAACATCTTCACAATTTTGCCACCATAAGTCCAAAAGTTCAACTTATTCATATGCAAAGGTAGGGATCCTTAGTTTTCATCCAAGAAGCTGTATTTTCACAGAACACATAATCTTAAGACACACTTACGAGCTAATCAACTCGTCTGAGAGGGGGGATAAGTGCAGATGCTGTTGCTGAACGGGCAGAAGATGCTGCAAACCTTCCTGACAGAGAAGTGCTTGAAGATCCTAACGTGGTTTGTCGACTACCCTGTATAATTGGAAGATGCATATTGCTAGGTAAAAGTAGAATATCAATATAAAATCATATTACTTCTTTGCTGCAGTAAACTATCATAAAAGAAATCATAAGGAGTCATTCAAAGTTTGCATACCTCAGGGAGCATATTGTTTGGTGATACTTGTCTGCTATTTTTGTTGGCCTCTTGTGGAGTCCTCAGATGAGACCAAGAAGGAGAAATCTGATAAGTAGGTAAAAATGAACCATATCCGCCAAATCTCAACCCTGTCAATATATGCAAAGTCAACAATCATCAGCTCATGGCATAAACCTTGTCACTGTTAAAATCGCTTTGAAAATGTCCCAACACATTGTAAAGTTTCTCATCCTTGACAGAGTAAGAGATATATATATATATATGAGAAACTGGAAGAGAGTTGCTATCAGAGGTCGTAATGCAGTTATCACTAATACACAACACCTGCCAGAATACTTACACCGACTCACTAACTAGCCCCTAAACCAACTCTAGATAGAGAAGTTATAAACAAAAAATAGAATGAGAAAACACAGGGTTTCTCTAACATCACAGTAAACTTGATAAGGCCTCTTATTAAGATTTGGTTTTATAGAATGAGAAAATGCAGGGTTTCTGTTATCAAGTTTCTCTCGACATGATAAGGCCTCTTATTAAGATTTGGTTTTATACAGTCAATTATATCAAGCAAACGGAGACATACACAACAAACAGTACATAGATTAATCAAACAACATAAGCTACATGCTAGCAAACTAGAAAATAAAAAAATACACAAAATGAACCAATTGCAATTGAACTTAAAAGAAAATGGTTCAATCTCAATTGTAAATCCATAACAGTGATAATCAACACAACTAAACAGAAAATAAATAAATAAGAAAACTCACAAGGTAAGATAGAGAAACATCAGGGTCAATGGTTGAATCATTCTTCTTATAATTATCATAATTGTAAGCCTCTCCTTCTTCAAGCTCAGTTTCCTCCATCATTTCTACTCCACCATCAAACCCTAAACCTATTCCCTTCCTTCCATCTCTACTCCAACCAGAAATCATTCAAATAAATACTCCAATCCAACAAAAAAAAAACTAAAATTTCAAAGATTTTTCACTTTTCACACACCCAAAAACCTCTACAAAACTTCACACAAATTCCCCACCCATTCACCAATGTTCCAAATTTTCTCAACTTCACCAATCGAGATCGCAGAAAAACAGCACAAATTCACCAACATCAGCTGACCTTTATCAACAAAAATTAAATTAAATTAATCAAAATCCAACAACAAAAATGATTAAATCAATAAAAAAACTAATATAGATTCAAAAAATGATAATTTAGATTATTCTGGAATGTTAAAGCTTGGATCGCCCCTACTAAAGCTCAAAACTATGAGCAAAGAGAGAGAAAATAAAAATGAAGAAAGAGATATTGAAAAATACAGATTTTAATGAAAGATAAGAGTACTAACCTTATGAAGATGAGCAAACAATGTTTGATTGAGCAAAAGGAAGAAAAATCTACTCTTGAATTTTCATTGTCAAAGTACAGAGAAGATGAAAGAAGTACTATGGAAAATATTTTTTTAAAGGGCTTTGAGGGTATTTTTGTAATTGCATAATCTAATGCAAGTGTAAAAATGCTATGTATTACTAATACCTAAAATTTCTTGGTATTAGTAATACACAACTTAATACACAATATTGTGTATAACTAATGCTTGCATTAGTTATACATGATCAAAAAAAATGTAACAAACAATGTATTACTAATACACATACCTAATGCATGTATTATTTTTCCTGATACCCTCTACCAAACGACCCCTATATGTTAGTTTGAGTTCTGTTGCATGAAAAATGTGTAGTGAACACTCGAAGTACAATAAGACAAAAACACATAAATTTTGATTTTAGAATATTTATTTGCACTCTGGTTAGGTCTATGCAAACTTAATTTACTGATGACAATATGTCAAATAAATTGAAAATTAGTGTCAGGGTCGCTATTTCCAGATGAGGATTTTGACTTGTAGATATAAGCCATGCCACAAACTCATCCCACATGGAAGATGCCCTCACAAGTGGAAACATCGAGGCAGACCATATGCTTGAGGAATTGCGTAACAAGTTTACCAATGTATTGGATTCCTTGGCATTGCTTACGAGAAGTAATGAAGATATTGCAACTCTCGAAGGCCTGGGAACTCCTCGAATTGGGACTGCAAAATCACTAGAAGCAAATTTGGTTCAGGAACCTTCTTCCATTACCAAAGTTCAGCTGTGAGCTTTGACATTCCTGAAATTAACTATAGATTGTACGAAGATGTTAGTATGCAACCCAAGATCCATACTTCGGTGTTAAATGATCCGAAAGCATCTAATAGTGTGGAGGAAGAAAATTCACTAGATAATGTAGCTTTGCAAATTACTCAAAACTTATGAGGTAGAGTGTGGACCAAGGGGTTCTCTGTTGTCCATAACTGCAATGTATTAACATGTCCTTTAGGACCCGTTTGGTAGGAAGTATTAATCAAAATAATCCATGGATTAAAATATAGTCCAAACAAAAACATTGTTTGGTTACTTTATTTAACCTAATCCATGGATTACTAATACCTCATACATGGTCTTATTTTATCCTAGGAAAGGGAGGGATAGCTAATCCAAGGTTTAGTAATCCTTGGATAAGACCCCTAATGACTAAATTATCCCCAAATCTTTTTTCCTATTTTTTTTTTGTAATTCATGTTCTTTTTTTATTTATATGAGAACATTTATAATTGTTCATTTAATTCTCCAAATTTATTCCATGTAATTTGATGTATTCACAAACTAATATTTTTTTCTCCATGTTTGAGTTGTTATATTGGGTTGATTTTTTGTTTTTTTTAAATGTAGTTCGTCAATTGACCACGTAAACTATTTTTTTTTTAATTTTTAAAATAAGCTAAGCGTATTTCAACAATTTAAGTAGCCTTAAATTCATGTTAAGTTCAAGGTATATTTGACCAACAAAAAATTAGAAATATACCATGTGACATATCACACCTCAAAATTAATAACACTTTTATATTTTTTTTTAAATATTTAATTTGACTAGTTAAATGGAACATAATCTCACAATAACTAAAGTGTATAATAGGAAATAAACTTTTTCTAAAGTTTTAAACCAAACATAAGACTAGGTAGGAAATAATGAACCAAACACTTGCTAAAAAATAATCCCTGCATTACTAAACCCTGCATTACTAATCCATGCATTACTAATCCATGCATTAGTAATCCCTGCATTATGCATCTTTGTACCAAACGACCCCTTAATTCCATATTCACCAGTCTTCTTTGCACTAACAAATATATGTGAACATTACTCTTATTTTTCTCTCGTCTAAAAGTCTTGGCTCTCAACAATAATATCTAAGAAGGTAACGACCATTTTTTCACCGTATGGAGCGCCGGATGGGGCTTCTCCGGTGGGAATTCAGCCACAGGCGACTCTGCACAATGGAGCGTCCTCTTCTATGGGTTTTACCACTGGAAAACAGACCTTCGCAACTGCTGTCACTATGGCGAATCAAACTTCGAAAATCGTCAGACATCCTCGTGAATCAGTAATCGCAAAAATCACTTCCCACAATGGGATTCCAACGGTTATTTTCAATGCAACAGACTACTATAGGATAATGGCGGATGAGTGTAAGTTCACTATAGTTGGCAGATTTTTAATGAGAAGACCCCAAATTGATCAAATTTGGTCAAGCTTCAAAGAGCTTTTCGCAATTAGGGGTTCTGATTCTACAAATGAAGACGACTTCAATATGGTTTGGTACAGAAGGGTTATCGAAACGGAAGGACTCCAAATGTGGTTGCATAAATGAACCTCCGGCTTCAAGCCGGAAGAAGGCATCCCTGTAGCACCAGTGTGGGTTCTTCTACCAGGTTCGCCTTTCCACATGCATACATGGCATTATATTAAACAAATCGTTAGCTCGGTAGGATTTAGGTATGATGGGGCCACTAATTGTAGAACTAGGCCGAGCATGGCTGAAGTTAGAGTTGAAGTTGATTTGCTTAAACCTCAACCCAACACTGTTTGGGTGGGTTTCGAAGATGATAAATGTCCATTGAGAGGCTTCAATCAAAAACTAGAATACAAGAATATCCCTAAATATTGTAAGCACTATAGAAAAATGGGACATAATGTGATGAATTGTTGGATTCTGGAGAAAATCAAGAGTAATGACAAAAAGGGAAGTGTTTTGAAAGAGAATCAGGCTGATGTGAATCTGGAGAATAGTGAGAAGGGTACTAGCAAGTTCGAGATTGTACAAGAAGCGCCACAAAAAATCTGATGAGGAGGATACTAGCAAGGTTGATATTATACAAGAAGATCAAAAAAATCTGATGAGGAGGATACTAGCAAGGTTGAGAGTATACAAGAAGAGCAAAAAAATTCTGATGAGGAGCAAACTTTAGCAAAGAAACTTTGTGAGATCACGGGCAAAATCAGAAGCAAGAAGAAGAAGAAGAAGGTTCCAAAAAAGAGGAGCAAGTTTATGTTTAAACCAACTATATCTAGCATCAAAAGAGGCAGAAGAAAGAAGCACAATGATGGGCAGCTGAGAACTGAAACTGTTGAAGATGTTGAACCTAGTGAGTCTGTGGAACTTGTGGAGGGTGAGCAATCAAAGAAAATTGTGGTAGCAGAAAATAGTACCAACATTAGTGAGGGAAATGATACAAGGAAAAATAACCATACTATGGTTGAAAACACTGAGAAAAGAGTGGAAAACATTCATCAAAAAGAAAAATCTGTTGACAATGAGAAAATTATTTTCACAAACCTTCATCTTGAGTTGGTAACTCATGAACCTGATGATTTGAACTGTGAGCATGTCGGTAATCAGATAGCAAAGCAACCTATTACTAATGTAGATGACAACAACAATTACATAGAGGAGACAGACTATGATAAAATCAGTAACAGGGAAGGGGAATGTACACAGATGCAAAAGGATGGAGCTCAAACCAAAAACGAGAATAGCACTGAAACTAGAGGCGAAAGCAAGGAAAGGAAAAAAGGCGAATAAAAAACAAAGAAGTGACTAACTCTCCTGGAAAAAGAATAGAACTAGCACAAAAGAGGTCTCCCCAGATCATTGATGAAACAACAGAACCCCCAGATGCTATTCTTAGTGAAGATGTTGACTTGCTAGACTCTGGAACTTCTCTTAATAGAAAGGAAAAATTCGCACAGATTCAAGAAAATGAATCTATAACCAAAATTTTAGAGTCAAAGCTTCAGGAGGCAGAACTTCACAAAGAAAAAAAAGAAAAAAGACTCTAAGAAAGAGCTAGCTCAACTTCCAAAAGAAGGGAACAAAACAAAACCCTCCCGTAGTATTCCATGATTAGTACAATCTTTTGGAATATTTGGGGAATGAGGTCCAAAAAAGCAAATCACAGAATCAAATACTTTGTCCACATTAACAAGGTGGTTTATTTGGCTATCCTAGAACCTCTGGTTAATAAGACTAAGATTGAGGGATGCAGGAAATTTCTTGGATTTCAATATTTTCTGGCTAACACTAATGGCAAGATTTGGTGTTTTTGGAATCACCTAGATCAAGCTGAAATCATAGCCAATGAAAAACAACATATTACCATCAAATTAAAATACAAAAATGGCGCTAACAGTAGATTTGTATCTGCTATTTATGCCAAATGCATTGACGGGGATAGAAGAGACTTATGGGACAACAGGGAAAATATAAGTAGCTCTATTAATGATCCATGATGTATAGGAGGAGACTTCAATGATATCATGGACCCTGATGAAAAGTTAGGAGGCAAACCTCATAGGGCTAATAGATCTTTTGACTTTAATAACACTATGGAAGCTTGTGGTCTATCTGATTTGGGTTTTTGTTGGACCTAAATATACATGGTGCAATAATAGAATACCTAGTAAAAGATTTTGGAAAAGGCTTGATAGAGTTTTTGTTTAATGATCTATGGGCTCAAAGCTATCATACCAATACCATCAATCATTTAGCTAGGACGGGCTCTGATTACATGCCTCTTCTCATGCAAACCCTTTCCAATCAAAACGACTTCATCAAATACTTTAGATTCTTAAACTTATGGACTCAACGACCAGATTTTTTGGAGACTGTTCGAAACTCTTGGAACATGAATGTGACAGGCAATGCTATGTGGAGACTCCTGTGTAATTTAAAGGTTCTAAGCAAAAATATCAGTAAATGGTCTAGAGAGACCATTGGGGATATTCATGAGCAGGTTAACAAACTGGAGACCAGAGTCTAACTTCTTGAAGAACTGGACACTCTAAACAATAATGAACAAAGCAGGGAAGATTTGAACAGGGAGCAAGCAGAATATATTAAATGGCTTGGAATGCAGTATGCTTTGCTAAAGCAAAAGGCTAGAATCAATTGGTTCAAAGAAGGGGACTACAATAGTAAATATTTTCACAGTGTGCTAAGAGATAGAAGAAAGAGACTTCTTATTCACAGAATCAAAGACCACAGAGACAACTGGATTGAAGGGGACAACAT